AAAATTAACTAAAATATTCATAATAAAATTATTTAATATTTAATATATTCTTTATTTAAATTGATTTTCATTAATAAAATAATGTTTATTAAAAATATAATGTAAAGAATAATTTAAATAAAATATAAATATTTTTAACATATTAATAATTGAAAATAAAATTTAATATGTGTGTGTGTGTGTTTATAATATATTATTTGATATATTTATGTAGTAAAAATATATATTTAATTTTTTATATAATAACTACATGTGCCTTTCAATTTAACTGGTAAAGAAAGAGAGCATAAGGCTTGAAGGTATAAGGTCAAGAGTTCAAGTCTTGGGTTGGTATAAACATAATGAATATATGATATAATAAGGAGCAAGTGACATAGCATAAGGTGGACAATGACATGTTATGGGTTGTCGTACATGTGGCGGGTGATGGGACATAAGATGGTTGGTGAGATAGCGATTGATGAAGCACGAGGTTGTTGGTGACATATTATAAATGAAGCACACATGACGGGTAATGTGGCATTACTATTTTTAAATAAAGGTATATTTAGTGAGGGACTAATCCCTCGCTAAATTATTAAATTTTAAATAATATTGGCAAGGGATTTAGTAAGAGATTTATTTCACTTATATTTCAATCCTACAATGTAATAGCAGAATTTCTTGAGTCTGATTTGCAAATAATTATTAATTAGCTATTGTAGCACTCCCTTCAATCTCTACCATAAATTATCTCTAACTATCTTATCAAAATTAAAGAAGTTAGATAAATTATTAATTTTATTTAAAAATAGAATAAAACTTTAATTTTTACCCCCCATCTAAATAAAAAATCTTAAATTAACATTACATTTTCTCTCATAGTCAGTAAAGTTAAATAAAAATGATATTAAAAAATGTAATTAATACCATATGCGCCTTATATTAAGAAAAGATAGTGATTACGTGAAATTCTTCATTGAGAAAATAATCTCAGCCGATTCAACCAAATGTTTAGCCTAGCGAGGGTCCAAATCACATGACAATATTATCTTTTTATAAGTAATTTTTCTAGATAAAGTTAATGCTAAATAAGAATTTAAAAATTTCAAATACTTGAAAAAGACAATGATAAGATTGCTTTTTTTACAAGGGATTACAGTGCTATGGAGTTCAACGCTCCAAACATTATGACATGTACCAAAAAACCAGGACAAAAATTAGCTGTAATGCTTTAATTTTTTTAAAAAATGAAAATATTTACGTCATTTTATGTACGAGTTTATTTTTATTTTAGTTTTTTGATCGTGAAAGGAAAAATCAGAATCTGTTTACACTGTTTTTCTTTCCAAAAAAAAAAAAAAAATCCTTCGGTGATCTTACATTTTAATTATCCTTCCTTTTCATGATTATCTTGACATGACCGACATAGGTTTCATATTTTTTTTTTTCAAAAATTGAGTGCTTCGATAAACAGGTTCTAATTATTAAAACTTGAGTCTAAAGTCAAGTTCAATCCATGTGACAATATTATTTTTTAAAATTTTTATTGACACGTTCCCTTGATAAAGTCAAGGGAAGATGACCAAAAAAACCTTTAAAATATGTAAATGGTAATAAAATAAATGTTTTAATTCTTTTTAAGTTTTTAAAAATATAATATTAATAATTTTTTATGAAACAAATAAAATATTTTAATTTAAAATAAAAAAGTAACATTTTTAGCCCAAAAAATTAATAGTAATTTTTCTTTTAATAATTATTAGAATGAAATAAAAAATTATAATTTTTTCTGTGTAAATTTTTGTTTCATTAAGTTATAAATATGTGTGACTAATAAAATTTAAGTAATAAATATTTTTATTTTGACAATGATCAAAGTAGAACAATCAATTAGAATTGTCATTGTACAAAATTTTTATTCACTAAAGTTTAAGCATTATAAATATTTGTAATTACTTTAATTTAAATAATAATTAATTTTTTTTAGTGATGAGCAAAACAAACAAGAAATTATTATTTTAATTTAAAATGAGAGTATTTTTGTCATTTTATAAAAAATCAAAGGAAAAATATAATCACCTATCCCTATAGTTTTATTAAGTTTTATTTTCAATCATTAAAATTTTTTTAATATTTTTAATCTTTATAGTTTCAAAAAATTGAGTAATTTCATTTTACAAATCCCTGTAATTTTAATTTTTTAATACTTTAAATTTTTATAAAAATTAAAAATATTAAAAAAATTATATAAATTAAAAGTAAAACTCCACAAAATTATTAAGACCAAAACGATGCTCTCAAAAAATCACATGTCAAGAGGATATTTAAAATAATTATGACATAACGTCCGATTTACAAGCTTTTCCTCTCATTTTTTATAGAATTCAAGCAAAATAAAAATTCAAAAATTTCACATGATTCTTGAAGAAGTGACAGCATGAGGTTGCTTTTACAAGGGATTGCAGTGTTGTGGGTAAGGCTAAAGGCCTAAAGCATTTATGACTGGACTTGTACCAAAAGTAACGCGTTATTTGACTTTTGTTTCTTTTTAACTTTTTCAATTCACATTTCATTTTATTTTGTGCACAGGTACATAAAATTTAGAAAGTTAACTCTTTTTTTTAATAAAGATATTTCTATCATTGTACAAATTTATTTTTAGTTTAGTCTTTGTATATTGAAAGGTAAAATTAGATTTTTTTTTAATAAAAATTTCTTTCAATGATCTTACACAGGGAATTTCCCTTCTTTTTACGAGAATCTTAATCATAAACTCCATATTTTATTTAAAAAAATGAGTGCCTAAATAAAATGGCTGTAATTATTAAACCTTGAAGGGACGAAAAGGTAAACCTGTAGAATATCATGTAATATTCGGACAAAAAAAAAAGGAAGAAGAAGAAGAATATCATGCATTAAACAGTAAACACTTTTCATAATTCAATAAATACTGTTATACGTTACATATTTAGGAAGCTAGATCAACATTAGCAGATTTAATTTGTAGGGAGAATTTCATTTAAACATTAAGGATGAGATTTATTCACAAATAAAACCCAACAAAATCTAAAATTACACTAGAAATCAAAAAGAATGAAGTAAAATTATTTTTACAAAAAAAAAACAACCAAAATGTCTTTTATTTATTTAAATAAATAAATATATATATAATAAATTTTGTTTTCAAAACTCTTGATTGTTATATTATTAGTTAATTATGTAATTTTATTTATTAATTTTTCAATAGGACTTGGTAATTACTTAATTTTACTTATTATATCCATGATTTTCTCAACTCCTTCAACTGAATTATATTATTTGTTAATCATATAACTTTGTTTAGATCTTTTTAATTATTTAACTTTACTTATTAAATCCTAAAAACTTTGAAATAATTATCCCATTTTGTAATCTTCTTTTATCATTTACTTATTTATATAATTTGAAGTCTATTTTTTTTCTTTTAACTTTAAGTCCAGTATACATAACTTCTTAACATTTAAAAACTAACCATAATTTTTTTTAAAAATGAAATTTAAGGAAAGACACAATTATTTATCCTTATAGTTTCATGTGCTTTTGTTTTTACTTTCTATAGTTTTTTCAATCCATATAACTGGTCTTTATTTTTTAAGTTTTTATATTTTTTTATTTTTTAATAATTTCACTCCCTATGAAGATTAAAAGTAATAAAAAAATTATATAAATTAAAAATAAAACTCAATAAAATTATAAAAATAAAAAATTATGATATATTTTTAATTTTTTTAAGGGTTAGCCCTCGCTGTGAAAACAAAGCAAGGAGGAGATTTTAGTCATTTTGCTAGCTTTTTCAATAGTCTTAACCCTAACTGTATCCATTCCCCAGTCGCAACTCACATATCCACATTCTCAACTCTAAAAGTCGCATTGTCTCCACTCCAGTCTGCAGTCTCCACACCTACTTCTCCACTCTTCCATCTTGCTCTTGGCAATTGGCGCAGCTTCCATTCCCGTCTGGCCGTCTCATCTTCACTCCGATTTAATTCTCTGTCATCGTTGTCTTGTGCTCTTACTCGACTCTGCATTGCTCGTCTCTTGCTCAACTCTGTATTGCTCGCCTCAGTGTTGCCGTGCTCTTCCTCGTTGCTGTCTCTTGTTCGACTGGTCGCTCTCGCTTGTGTCTTTGTCTTGCTTGTCCGTGTTGTCAACTTGCCGTGCTCTCTGCTCGTTCATTTCTCCTTTGCGGCTGCCCAGGTTTGTAAATCAATTGATCATTTCTCCCAAGTCTGATACGTGATGCCTGTAATGCGTGAACTTTTTTTTGCAATTTATCTTGGTCATGTGGATTATTTTTTATGATATATCTAGTTAAATCTATAATAAGCTGGGTTATTTATCTGGATTTTTTTTGGCAATTTATCTGGGTTATTTATGTGAATTTTTGGCAATTTATCGGTAATAACCCAAAATTTAAGTTGTGACAAGGTAATTTATTAAATTCTTATATTTTCAGAGTAACGTTTGAACTATAAGCTCAGTGGCATTTGTCATGCCCCTTGAATTTCAACGTCCCAGGTTCAAATCTCAGGAGCTGAAGTGTGATTTTAGCTCTCCTTTTTCAAAATTACCATTGTGTCCCTCTTCCATGTGATATTTTTTTCCTCTTTTCCTTCTCTCTGATTCGACTGAACGGAGGACTAGAAGTTTCAGATTCAACATCTGAAAATCCTCTCATCCGTCTTCTTCCTTTTCGTTTTCCCTGTCATCGCCGACGTTGATGCTGTTGCCGCTCCGTCCTCCGCTGTTCTGCTAGGTCGGGGCTACCTTTTCCTCCTTCGTCTTAGCTTGCATAGGAACTGTGAGGAGAGGGAAAAAAAAATTGATGCTCAGAAGTTCTGAATCCTCGATCCAGTCACCTCAAACCTCCGACGTTCAACACGCCGTCGACGGGAGTGAGAGCTCCGCTTGTCGCTGCTGTGACCTCGCTGAGACCCCTCTGCTCTGTGCTTGCTGTGGACCACCGTATTGTGGTACGAATCATGGGTTCTTCTCTTCCTTATTTAGCCATGAATTTTGTCTCCTTCTTTTTCTTCGTGAATTGCTATTGTTGAGCATGGGAGTTGGAAATTTCTCTCCTCTTATTTTTCTGTTTTGTTGTGCTGTGTGGTGAGAAGTTCTGAACCCTTTTCCTTCTCTTTGAAGATCCTGTGCGGGTGTGGGTGTGTTGGTGAAATTGTGCTGAACCTATGTGTATGCATGATGAATGGTTGAAATTGCAAATTTTTCTGGAATTCTTTTGCTGCCCGTGCTGTGTAGGGAAGAAGGAAATTGAAATTTAAGCTGGAAAATTTATATTAAATTTTGTTAATGATATACATGTACCTGATTTTTGAGTTAAATTGATTTTTTTTATTTGGATTGGTTAATGATTAATGAATTGATTAGGATGAGATTGGGATAGAAGAATTTAGATATGAAACTTGTAGGTTGGTGACTGTAAGATATTTGTTAAAATACTTGTTAGAAGGAATTATTTGATTGTGTATTTTCTAAAAATTTCATGAAATTTTATTGAGAAACATAAATGGTTTGGATGTTGTTATCTTGTAAATTGAAATTGACACTGTATAAAAATTTGATTATTAAAATAATGTGTCACTAGTTGGATTCTTTGGAATTATTGAGTTGAGAAATTTTGGGTTGAGATTGTGAAATTTTTTCTTCTTTCTTTGCTGCCATGAGGAATGTGGATGATGAGGATTTGATTTTCTTGAGTAAAGATTGATTTTATCTATTGAACAATGGAATTTGGAAAACTAATTAATTATATTTATGTTAGGGAACTGTTGAGAAATGGAATTGAGGAGGAAAATCATTTGATCCAATTATTATGGAAACAAAATATATATATTTATATATATTGAAGTTAAGAATTGTCTACATTATTTTCTGAATTAATTTGGATTGAAAGGTACAAAACAAATATTTAAAATAAAATAACAATGGTATTATTTGGGCATAAGGATTTACAGAGCAAACATTGTTGCAAGAGGATCGGTTAGGAGTAAATTATTTATTTGAAAAATTATCAAGTAAATGGATAGCGTTTCAACTGATTTATTAATAAAATTATTTTTTTTTAAATAATATATTTTTATGTAAATTATTTTAATAACAACTTTGTTAAACTTGAGATATTTTGTAATTTAAATCTCTTTATCTTGTGAAATTATTTTTATTAGCTTTAGCAATTTCTAGTTTCTCAATAATACAAGCATGAAAATTAGTTATGAAATTTTATTCTGGCAAGTTTTAATGCTTAAAAACAATCCATGTAAGTTTGACTTTAAGAATGCAAACTGTCTTTTAAGTTTTAATAGTGATGATTTTTTTTGAATGTTTAAAAATGAATTTGGAGAGAATTTTATACAGAACACTGGTTGTTAATGGCAGTTCCATTGGCTCTTGGTACACCATGGTCAATGACTAGTTAGTTTAATTCTCGTGAGCTCTGTTCTCTTGTCTGTTATTCGTGAGTCTCGTACTTGCATCTGTTTCGTGACTTCGACCACGTTTGGTTAGCTACCCTCATGGACTGTGTGTCCACATATATTTCATGGCTTCGGTCGCATCTGGTTACTTACCTTTGTGGATTGTGTGTCCACATTTGTTTTCGTGGTATAAGCCGCGTTTGGTTATTTATCTTCGTAGACTGTGTGTCCACGTCTGTTAATTATTCTGACAAGTCCCTATAATCATAAATTAGATTATTTGGTGATTTCTCAGTTTTTTAAAGTAATTTATTTATAATTATTTATTTTGTTTATTTGCTTTCTTGAAATGAAGTGACAATAATATTTAATATGATTATTTAATGGTTCAAAATTTTATTTAAAAGTTATATAGAGCCATTTATTCTGAAGTTTACTAAAATTTTATGGAAATTGTTGTCTCTTTAATTTATATAATTATTTTTAGCTTTTCTTTTATTCATGTTTAATTATTTATTATTGGGACATTATTCATTGGAAATAATTTTGGTATGAGATAGTGTAGCCGACACTGAACTACCTAATAAGCATTGAGGAGTCTATTATTGATTAGAAGTGGAAGAGCTCAAGATTAAGCTTTATTTTGATGTAAAGTTTTAATTATGAAATTTATTTTGTAAACTTATTTTTAGGTGCTCCACATAGTTAGTGGCTAGGTTATTTATGTTGATATATATATTTTGTTTGTTGGTTGGAATAAGCTTTGCTTCTGACTGATTTGATACTTTTGGTTGAAACTTTGTATTATAGAATTTTCGAGAGGTCCTATTTATTGGGAAGGTTTTATCGAAATTTTTACAAAATTACTAAAAATTTTCATTAAAAAAAATATTAAAGGCATTAAAAATATTTCAATATAAATCTATTTATGTTTTATAAATAAATAGTAAACATTAGATTAAAGTTTCCTTGACCACGGCTTAAGGGATGCATGTTTGTACATATATCCTGTGTCAGTCATGTCTAATTTTTGGGACATGACATTATCTGGATTATTTATGCTTTACTCTTTAGTTGCTTTTTTTTTTCTTTTCTGGTAATTCTGCATTTGGCCTCATTTTATTTGGTAAAATCTGGGCTGGACTTTAATAGATGCTTATGAACTTGTCTCCCGCAGCATTTAAGACTATTCATGAGGCTCCAGTATTGCCCTGAGTCGGTAATATATGGAAACTCTTGGTAATTCATGAGGCTCCAACAATCTAGGAGTTGCAATCTGAGTAGGCATTTGTAATCCTCTTTTATCATTTACTGATTTATATTTAGATGAGATTTATTTATAATTCTTCCAAATAAATGATATAAACGTCTATTTTTTTCTTCTAACCTTAAGTCAAGTATAACTGCTTTTTTAACAGTTGAAAACTAACACTTTCCTTTTTCACTTTTGAATTTTTGGAAATTGAAAATGGACAACACCTACCCACTGAGTAGTACTGATCAAAGCCTGCAACATCACTTCGGTACTGTCACTCCCACCTTCAAGTTCCAAATAAGTTTTCCTCTCGTTCTCATCACAGAGCAATTCTGTTCATCTCACTCTTGAAAATCTGCAAGCCAAGAATCACCAACTCAACTGCAAGTTCATCACAGGTATGAAGCAATTGATCTCCCTCTTTTAAATCACTTTATTCTTTCAGATTTTTCTTTCTGTGTTTTTCTCACCATTTTCTACTTGTTTTTCCATACCTATCTGTGATTGCTCTCTTTTCTCCAACTTTGAGTGATTAGCTTGCTAGCTCCAAATAATTGCTGCTATCGTTTGCAGACTACATTTTTTTTTCTTCTTTGCTTCACCTTTGGGTCGATCTATTAGAGGGGGAAAAACACTAAATGAAGTTACTCTAATCCTGCACATGGCTGGGTCAAAAAACAAGATATATACCAGAGCAAGAAAGTTCACATCTGGTTTGTGATTGTATTTTTATAATTGATCTTTCTTATTTTACTCGAGTATAAAAAAATCATTCTTCTCATCTTGATGGTTTTGAAAGATCCCTCATTTTTTTTTAAATGAAATTTTGAAATAATCATGTGATGTTGATAAAATTTGTGTTTGGTGAAAATGGTGGAGGTGAAGAACAACCAGTGCATTATCAAATTGAGACTCAGATAGTCCATCCTCTCTCGGAAATACATTTCAAGCTACAAAATCTTCCAAATCTTGTGATTCTCCAAATATGGTATGCATTTACTTTCCGATACTTTAATTTAATTTGATTTTTGTAAAATGGTTAAAAGAGTTAGCCATGTTATGAACTGAATTATGAGAAAGCCTAAAAACTAGACTCTGCAAGCAAGAGTGAATAGCAACCTGCAGAACTAAAACTTGGCCGTTTATATAAGGAAGAGCAAAGGTCAATTGGTTCGGAAAATTAGATTTGGGCGTAACATGGTGAAATGACATGAATGGTGCTTGGATATTAATAATATAACCCCAAGTAGCTTTTATAGTCTTATATTCTTGCCACCTTGACAGCAAGTTTAAAGCTGTTACGAGCTTGGAAAACCCATCACCCCTGCCACAGTTCGGACACAAGTAGAACACAACATATACGTGTCTAATATATCCTCCTACAATTATGATCCAAACAAGGACTCGTCTTGGAGGATGATCCAACTCATTCTAGTTAGTTAAACTACATGAAACCCAATGAATTTTGTAGTGGAAGCATGAGTTAAATCTATCGTTGACAACATCAAAAGTCATAGCAGCAGTCCCCATTAAAACTTGTCCATTTAACAAGTTTTCAGTGTTCAAAATGATAGTAAAAAGGTCTTTAGTAGTAATAGCTAGCTCTTTTGTCCTCAAGTAAAAACGTGCCAAGACCTAGTAAAGGTAGAATCAAATCATAGCCTACAAGATCGCCAAATGATTTCAAGGGAGTAATTACATATAATGTTGACAAGAGCCAGAAACTTTAGCCATTCCCAAATTAGATGGGAGAAGGAGAGTGTTATGCAAACCTGTGGCGTCATTCTTCAAGGTGTCATTAACCACCTTCATTAGATTCAACAAAGAAGCAATAAATAAAGAGTCCCCAATAATTGTGAAATCTAGATCACTAGCTTCCATAATTATCCATTTATTTTCTGCACTTAGCTCTATAGGTACTTGTTCATAGTTTGCATGAAGCATATTTTTAGCAAAATATTTGTGACCCATGCAAATCACTCCTTTGATATCTACTAATTTTTGCAAGTGCCTCTTAGACTCATTCTTGCTTTGATAAATAGCTAAAGATGAGGGAGTAGAACCTCGAACAATGTTTTCAAATGCTATCTCATAAACTTGCTTAAAGGAGTCTCTGGGAACAGAAAACTGTGCAACTAGTAGAGAGGAAGGGTCACTGCCTTCTCCATACCCCCTAGCATTTGCTTTGCACCCTTTAACCCTATGTTTGGTTGGGGGAGAGGGGAGGGGAAATTTCCCCCCCAAATTGGGGGGATGCCCCCCTCCACTCCCCTCCCCTCCCCTCCCCTCCCCCTCCCCTCCCCCTCACCCTCCCTCCCCTCTCTCTCCCCTCACATCCCTTCCCCTCCATCCCCTCTCCTCCCTTCCCCTCCTCTTGAACCAAATAGAGCCTAAGTGACAACTTGACCCTCAATGCTCCCGGATCAAAATTAAAAAGGAAGAGCTTAAAAGTGAAAATTGTTAGAGGAACTTAGAGTAGTCATATACCAATATCCTTTAGCATTTTGAAGGTCAAACATCTTAATGAAAAATGAGTTCAAGGTTGAAAGACCAAGACAGAAGTCAATAATTTGGGTGGGTAAGATAAATAAGTCGATAGAACATATATCAAACACCATTCAATTTATATGGACCAAATATCATTACACTTGGTTACATTATTTGCTATCACTTTTGGTGCTCCAATTTGTTCTCGCACTCCACAACTGTCATTGCAAAATATTGTAATGCACGGATAATCAAGCAATTATGTTATATTATTTAATATTTGGTCATTCAAGTTATTTATCATTTTTATTTCCCACAATAAATATTCACTTTTATGGGCACATTATCATAATTTTCCTTAACTTCAACGTGAATCTTATTGATATGGCTGTTCATTTTTTGTTTAAATTACCTAAAAATTGTTATTACGTCTATGCTAGAACGCTACATGTACATCCATAGATTTTTAATAAATCCTGATTTATGATTTTTCAAGAAATATGTTAATGGTTTTCATTTTTTTTTCTTCCCTCTCTTCCCCTGCCACAATGGAATTGCAGGAACTTAATGGCCGCAAATTGAGGAATGAAGAATTCAACTCTTTGGCATCTATTGAAAGGATTGATCTTCAGAATCGTGGGATTGAAGGACAATTTCCAACTTTTCAATACCTTTAAGAATTAACCTTGGAAGAATGTGCAAGATTGAAATTTGTTTTCTCTCCTCAGCTCTGTCAAAGTCTTCCAATGTTAGTTAAGGTAGCCATATCTGATTGTGCGGAATTGGAGGCAATTTTTTCAGGCAATGAAGAGACTGAGAAGGGTCTATACATAACTGAAGCCTATCTGCCAAAATTGGAAAGTTTGAGAATCTCTGATTGCAACAAGCTGAAATTTATTTTGTCTTTCATGATTAATGCTGCTACCTTAATGCTTCCACAACTAAGAACTCTATCGATATTAAAGTCTTCTCAGCTAGAAGAAATTTTCAGGTGTTCTAATATTGAAGATCATGATATTGATAGTGAAATGAAGATTATGTTTCCAAACTTGAAAAATGTAGCACTTCTATGGCTTCCAAGACTTGTTAATGTCTGCCAAGTGTTTAAGTTGCAGACAAGGGAATTTTGCAGAGTTGACGTTTATGATTGCCCAAAATTTATGCCAATTCTAGGGGCAACTATGATGTGGACTAAAGATGTAAGCAGTACTCTACACTCGTGGTTCTCCCCATGCTTTCTTTTCCATACTGAACATCTTGTTTTAACATGATTCTAATTTGATAAATATACACAAAATAATTAACAAGACATCTTATATTCCTGTATTAAAATTTAAGCAATCAACTAACCAAGTTAAACAATTGCATCTTTTATTCTCTTGACTTTTATCATTAATAGTCAAGTAATGTAGTGAAACAGAAGCATTTGATAGAACAAAATAGGTATAGATGTTAAATGGATACAGTATATGAATTCTCATCCAATGTGTTAAGATATTAGTTAAGTTGATCTCTTTTTCTTTTACTTATCTTTTCAAGGAACTTAGGATGCTTTCCTACCTCTTTTAACCTCTTTGTTATATATATAGGGACGACTTGTAAGGATGTATAAATTGAAATGCAGCCAATTAAATAATAATGAAGCCCTCAATCTTCCACTTTCAGTTTTAAATGTTGGAGAAGTTGATATTCAAAGTCCTAAAGTTGATCATGAGTTTGAAGTTATAGGTGATGATGATGAAGAAGAAACCAAGGACTTGAAATTGTTATTGGAACAAGAAATGCTTGGAGGTCTTGCTCCCACACAAGTTTTGAGCTTCCAATATCTGCATTCCTTAACAATGATTGGATGTAAAAAGTTGAAGTTTTTATTTTCAGTAAGCACCATTGTCCATAACGGCCTTCCCAAGTTAAGTTCCCTAACCTTATCTAATTGTGAGGAATTGGAGGTGATATTTGAGCATAGTAGTAAAGATGAAGCCAACGTCAGTGAGAAAATTTTGCTTTCAAGCTTGAGGAACATATGGCTTGAAAATTTGCCTAATTTGGATAATCTTTGTCGAGGAATCCAGATTCGAGTTCAACTGAGTGACATCACCATAAGAAACTGCCCTAAATTTCTTGATTCAAGTTTGGGACCAGTTCTTCAACAGATGGGAACAGTATTGGTAAGAATGAATATTCTATATCATGTTAATTAGAGTAGTTTTCAAATTGAGACAGAATAATGTGTCTATTAGAATCATATATATTATATTGCTAGATGCAGCCCTATAGATAAATTAAATGGGGAACTTACAGAAGTTTCAAATAGATGCAAGGAGGACACAAAAAGAAAGACTGTATACACTTGATGAATCTACATAACTATATTTTCTTTCTTTTTTTAGTATTAAATTTGATTGATGTGAATACTTTTTTCCTTTTCTAAATTGAAGTTGCTGTCTCCACAGGTTTCTACAGAAAGATCAGATTTGCAAACTACAGCAGATGTAGAAGAACGATTATCTATGCATGATGAAAAAGGGATAATCTTGACGTCAAGAGTAGAATGTTTGAGGTTGTGGGATTTGGCCAACCTCTTGTGTGTATGGGAGGGTCCCAGTTTCATTAGTTTCCAAAATCTCTTTTGGCTAAGTGTGATTAAATGCAAGAAATTAAAGTGTCTCTTCCCCAGAGCTGTCATGAGAGGCCTACCATGTTTGAAGATTTTGGATATTGCAAATTGCAAAGAGTTGGAAGAAATAATAATGTCATCAGAAAGAGAGGAAGAAGAGCCTCTCTTTCCAAATGCATCCTCTTCTTCCTTGATCTGTTTCCCACAACTTGAATGGCTTAGAGTTGATGGATGCGGATAGTTGAAATGGCTCTTCCCCTCTACTCAACATCTTCCACCATTAGTTGGTTTAGAAATAAAAGAGTGCTCTCAGCTACAGGGATTTTTTAATTCTGAAATTGAAATATTTCACGAGAAAGGGTTCTCCAACAATGTAAAGTTAAATATTTTAATGTTGTGGATTGCCCCATGTTCTCCAAAGCCACGCTCGCTGCTTTTAGGATGAGCTTGGGTTGGTATAGACCTGTGTGAGATTGTGCCTGCGTCCAGTTCTTGTAATTATGTATTAAGGAGTTGCAATCTGTAATGTGATAATTGGCTTCCAAATATTTGTATAGTTCATTTTCACATAAATTAAGGCACGTTGCATGCATTGATTGACACTTGTGTCTATTTAGATTACTACTTGCGCCCCGAGAGACCACATCATCAAGTTGATTAAATGTGGACGTAAGTCTCTGCAAGCACATTCTGGGATTACATGAACTAATGACTTTTGTAATCTATTTTCAAAGAAATGGGAAACTCTGTTTTGTGCTTGTTCAACTGTAAGCTGAAGTCATGTGATATAATGACTTGTTTTAAGAAATGATATATCTCAGAATGAATTCTTGTCATTTTTATTTAAATACTTTGGTCTGTTGTCCACATAAATGAGCGCCCGTTTCTATTTATGCCATTACCATGTGCCGGCCCCAAATAGCAAATGTAGTTGAAGAAGAATTGGCAGATGATGAAGAATTCTAGGAACCTCCATATCCCCTAAAACTTGTCCCGTTTTTCGAGTACTTTTCTATTTCCAAATTATGCCTTTGAGGCATTTTAATTCATTTGTAACTAGTTCTCGGGATTAGTCATTTAATATTTATTTACTTAAGAGATGACAAAGGACGAAAAAATATATAAAAAGTAATATGGTCAAATGAAAATTAGATATCCATTTGTTCTCCCATAATTAATGTTCTAACATTTCATTTACGTTTCAAAAGCCTCCCTCAAATGAGCGGCCAAATCTATTTCCTATTACTTTTTCAAAGTACTTTTCAAAAAACATTTTGCAAAATTACAAGCTTTAAAGATCTAGCCTTAACAAATGAAGACTCGTGTCAATAGTTAGTTGTCCTAATGACAGCGTTGCCTCTCTTCTCTTTTTACCACCAAAAAATGCTACCTTCTCTTTTTAAAAGAGGTCATAAATTTGAATACAGCATTGATATATTAGTGTATGTATGTGAGTTGGTGTCTTTCTCTTATAGAAAAAGTTAGGTTAAAAGTAAAGTTAAAAAATTATATCAAAAGGCCCATAATTTCATATGACATGTATGGTCAATTTTGCACCAATTGAAAAAGAGATCGGTAAAAGAGAGAGACCTACTCTCCTTTTATTTGAAATAGATTACATAATCTAAATCAATTCTTATATTATTTATAGCCCATTCATTTGCATTAGGCATTTAGGCTAGACAAATTGTGCAACAGACACAACAAATAAAAACGAAAAAGAAAATTGGTCTTAGCCTAAAACCACCCAATCATTGCCGATCAACATATCCATGATTGGGCTCTTTTTGGTTATAGTCAGGTTTCAATCTTAGTGGCATTGCTCATCAAAAAGATATTGATCACCAAGCCACTAAGCCTAATAAATATACTCTCTCCACTTCTTATTATAAAATATATTTTAAAAGATATTGATAGTTTTTACTACAAGACATTTGGTAGTTGATCGGTTATTAATTATATTTTTTTAATATTATTACTATTTAAATTCATTAACTATCATAGTGAATGTATTGTAAATTTAATTTTTTTTATTTAAATATAGATAAAATTAAAATTTTATTTTTTAAAATAAAGTTAATAACTTAATCCTTATCTTTGATTCCAATGACAGGTGTCTTATTATTGGAATTGGAACGAGTATATTGTGAAAAAAATTATATATGTAATAAATTTAGATTTAAAATTATTTGATGGTTACAATATAAAGTGGACCCATTAAACTCTTAACTCAACTTGTTATTTTTTTTAAAAAAATAAAAACTTGATATTTTTTAACTTTACTTGTTAATTTGTCAAGGTCAAGATCAGTTGAAAATTGAGAAATTAAAGATACAAGGATTTGATAATTAAGTTCTCTTTTATAAATTGGAAATTAAATATTAATAAAATAATATGTTTACATAGGTTTCTTGTGAAATTTCAAATCTATCAATTTGCAATTCACCTTCGTAGATTAATAAGTAAAAAGATATTAAAATGACAATATTTTTGTATTAGCCTTATATATTGTTATGAGTTTGTATTTTCCTTTTGTTAATGTAATTTTGTATCAATGAATTGTTATTTGTGATTTTTAGAGTACAATATTTATAACGCTCATTATCACATAAATAATATGCATTGCATGCAAATAAACTCTAAACTACATGGAAGAAAATCTTTTAAAGTTGAGATTTCTCAGTGAAGTATTTTTTTTTAATTGTGAAAAATGGTTTTTAAAAACAAAAATAGGAACAAAATCAAATAAATCCTGATATTCTCAAACTTACTAGTGGTTATCAGTACTGGGCTACAAAATCAAATATGAATCTATATTGCGTTTGGCAAGGACAATTACATTGAGATATTATCAAAATGAAAAGCTGTCTTTTTTTAATATGTCCTAATAAATTAATTTTATGGAAGGTGACGTTTATAATTCTATATATAAAAAATGTCATGTATCTCTAATTTCTAAAAAAACACCTTTGGAAAAATTGATTACCTTTATCTTTGAGTGTACAAAAACCTAAGTTAAATTAATACTTTACAAAAATTATTGTTGTCTTAGCTTAAGTCGAGAGAGTGCATACCATATTCAAGGTTTTTCATTATATCTTAAAAAAAATCGTCATCAATCTAACGTGCACTCAAAGATTAAAATAGGCAAGGGCGAATATTAAATTGATTTTGAAAATGATACCCAAATTTTGATGCCACTTTTAAAAATGTATATCTTTGATTTACAATATAAGACATCAATAAGTGCTCCAATAGACCATTTTTTAAAAAATAAATAATGAATAAAGTAGGTGTATATATAGTTGGAAAAAATTATAAGAGCTATCCAATATCCTATACTTTAAAATAATTAAATAGGTGGTTTTAAAAAATGCCTTGTATTATAGAATGGAGGGAGAATAAAAGATAATTAATATTTCAGACAAATTAATGCAAAAATAAAAAATCTGAAATATCAAATAATTGTAGCTTTAGAAAAGTTAAAATAGTGAGATTCGTCCTGTTCCCAAACGTGAAAAAATTAATAACAATTAACTGCAATAATGCATGATGATTTCTTTAACTTTTTGAATTTTGGCTTCATATTTTGGGTCCATTAGAATTTGATATTTATCCAATTAATTAAATTCTTAAATTTAAACAACAAAAAAGAGCACAATCAATCACTTCCAACTCAGATGATCATCACGGCTCAAGCTCATGAGAAGTTTGAGGCATTCTTTTTATTCTTTCTCATATTTATTCAATTAATTAAAGTCTAAGGCCTGGTTGGTTTCTGTATTCAAAAATTAAAAAAAAAGTATTTGGATAAGTGTTTTGAATTTAATTGTATTAAAAATGATCTCATTTTTATTTTTTTTAAAAATATAAACATCTTAAAAATATTTTTATTTTCAAAATACATAATATTTTATTATTAAAAGGGAGAATCGCACTGCAGGCCTCAAAAGAGGCAAAAATTACACTATAGGCCTAATAAATTATATTATTGCACTACAAGTCCAAGGGTCTTTATTGCAATTTTTCTTGAGAGCGAAAGTATAATTTTGCCCTTATGTGATTTGAAAACTCAAATCATGAACATCATAATGTCAATCGATGCACAACATAATGTCCATCAATGCACAATAAAATGTTCATGCCTGTCTAATTGATCAGTAGGTTTAATAAAATGTATAAGTGACACACACTATATAATATAATGTCCACAGATGAACAATACAATGTTCATACATTCTCAAATAACTATCTATGCGTAGACACATGAACATTGTCTTGTACATCCATGGATATCGTGTTGTGTATTCATGGATATCGTGCTGTGCATGCAAATAAATATATTCAATATTGTATTGTGCATTCATAGATATCGTGTTGTGCATTCATAGATCTTGTGTTGTACATAATTTGGGTTTTCAAATTACATAAGGGTAAAATTGTACTTTTACTCCCAAGAAAATTTGGAACAAGGGCTCTTGAGCTTGCAATGTAATATCAAAATGTATTGGGTCTAAAGTGACATTTTTTATTGTTTTAGGGCCCATAGTGCGATTCTCCCTTATTAAGAATTATAGTTACCTTAATTAATGATTATCATAAACTAGTACTGTTAACTGTCAATAACTATCACAATTGGCTGATTTTTTAAATTTTAAAACTATTTTTAAATAATACAACTAAACATTTTTTTTTGTTTTGTTTTGAAAAAAATATAATTTTAAAATTTATATTGCAAAACTAATTTTTAAAAATAAAAAAAAAACAGAAATAAAAAAGACCCTAAATTTGAAGAATCGTCGTATTGTATTGTTTTCTTGTATAGGCATTCAACGATAGCTTTTCTTTTCATTAGGAGTGATCTACTCCCACATGCGTTGGTATCACTTTTAAAAGATAATTAATTTTCCAGATAAATTAATGCAAAAATAAGAATTCTGAAATATCAAATACTTGAATGTAGAATCCCTTTAACTTTTTAAATTAGGGGTCCATAGGAATTGAAAACGGACAACATTCGCCTCGTTGGAATGCTTGATGATTCCTTTAACTTTTTCAATTTTGAATTCATATTTTTGGGGTCCATTAGAGTTGGAATTTTGTCGAATTACTTTTATTTAAATGTGTGAAAAGAACAATAGGTAACTGAAACATCATATATTTTCCCCTAATAATATCTAAGCCTGTTTGGATATCCAAATAATCAATTATCGATTGAATCTAATGAAAATATGACATTTATCAGATAACATTTATGAATAAATAGTGCACTAGGTCCATCCAAAAATTGATGTTCTAGCTTTGAATGCTACCCATGTTATTCATTTTCTCATGATACTGTTTAAAATATATAATATGAAGCCTAAAATTTCTTTTTCTTTTTTATTTTTAAGTCAATGAGAAATATTTTATTAACATTCGAAAACTAAAGATATTTTTTTTAAGAAAATTATGAAATTCCATTTTAATTAATATGTTATTTGATTGATGATGAAGGATATATCCAACGAAGATTTGTATGCATGCATGTATTTCACATGCTTCAAGTAAAAATGAATGATAAGATTGCTTTTTCACTTTTGAATTTTGGGAAATGGAAAAT